GGCTCAGCTCCAGAGTTGAGTGACATCTGTTCTAGCCAAAGGACTCGCACGTGTACTTGTGTGTGTGTGTGTGTGTGTGTGTGTGTGTGTGTGTGTGTGTGTCCAGCCTTCCTGCCTGGCCTCATGGGCAGCATTAATTGTGAGATGCAACGAGAATGGGATGTGAGGGCTTTATCTGTGTGTACCTAATTGATTTTGCATTCTCCACAAAGGAAGATCAAAATGAAACTTGTTTGTAAATGCTGTTTAAACTGTGCAGGCTTGGAAAAAGTTGTAAAAACTAACAGAGCACACCATACTGAAGGGCTTAATTTTTTTTTCAAGTTTTGGACTGAGCACATCACTTGACTAAGGTGAAGATTTTCGCATTTATAGGGTCTGAATGCGGGTAAGTCTCAGCTCATAAATTTCACCAGTGGCCTCGGTTGAGTGCCTATGATATGGCCTAGACTCTGGGGATGAATGTGTAATCACATTAGCTTGATAAATTAAAGGGTCCCATGTTTTTTAAATCATCAGGCAGAGCTGCATTAGAGGAGACACTGTTAAAGGGCAGAGTTAGATAAACAGGCTCATGGAATTGGCTTTTGCTAACCTCCTGGTAAAGTGAAGATTATGATGTTCATGCTGAACCATTCCTGGAAAGGCCCCTGCTCACACCAGTGATGAGCCAAAACCCAAGGCATAATGCCATTTCCTGAGTATTGTTCTCCAGCTGTAACACAAACCAGGAATAAGAAGGGTTCCCTGGGTGGGTTCTCTCTCTCTTTCTATTCTTGATTAATTCTTATAGGCTGTGCCAGGATCAACCATATAATTTGCAAGGCCCAATGCAACATAATAATGTGAATCTCTTCTTCACACATTAAGAATTTTAGGAGGGGACAGCAGGGCATTAAAGCAAGTATAGAGAGGGGCTCTGGAAACTTATGATGCTGGACCTGGAATGACTTGATTTAGAGCAACTTGGAGGGGCTAGACTGTAAATGCTTCGAGGGCAGGAGCTGCAGCTGCCTCATCTTGGGGACAGGAGTCCAACAGGGTGTCTATGACTGAGTAGAAACTTGTGAGGTGTTTGCAGAGCCCAAGCAGCAGAGCTGTTCTCTGCTTCTGTCTCTGGGACTTCATGTGGCTCTCTCAGTTTCCATATATCAGGAATTGGAGACAGTCTACCTCTGGGGTGTTCAGAAAGGACAGGAACAACAATTCAATTCTCTAATGAAATCCATTGCCTTGACAGCTTTGAGAAGAAGAGGAAACTTGAATATGAAACCTTCACTGTGATTGTGTCTATGTCTGTGTGTGTGTGTGTGTTTGTGTGTGTGTGCGTGTGTATCAAGTTCTGGCGATTTTTCACTGCAAAATGGAAAAGTCTGACAAACAGCAATTATCCAGTACAGTGAATGGCCAAGGTAGCACTGTGTCTTGGTCCTAGAAGGGAAGCTCATCTCTTAGCTTTTCATCTCTGTTTTCAGCTTGGACTCTGCCCTTTTTAACTGAGTGGAAAGCCCTTGCAGAGAGCCTATGATTTCAGGGGACACCGCAGGTCATCCTTGTCACTTCTGAATCATGAAGAATGCCAGCTCACAAAGTTGGTGTGGGGGCACAGCATGTCTTGGAGAGGAAACAAAATCCATCACAGAGGCACAAAGGCACAGAGGCACGGAGGCATCCCTCCCCTGGAGCAAATGGCTATGGGCTTGGAAGGAACCCATGCTCCTTTGTGTGGAGTCTTTGTTCTCTTCCAGTGTGTTGAGCCTGGACTTGTCAAGCCCAGTAGGTGCCCTTTCCCTCTCGGAAGCCAGCAGAGAGTAGCATCCAGGGCTGGCTGCCAAAGAGGGGGCTCCCAGCCAAGGAGAGCCTAGACTTTTCAGGATTAAAATAGGAACTGGGATCTTGAATGAGGATTAAAGTTACATTTATGCCGGGGAGCAGTGTGGGAGGTTGGTGCTCTGCTCAGAGCAAATAGGTAGAGCACTGTGTGTGTGTGTGGGGGGGGGGAATGTATCCTTCTGGGGTTTCCTCTCTTTGTCCTGGGTTTGTACAAAGGCCACTGGACATGTGAGCTCGGAGCAAGCCAGGACACTGGGCTCTTCCCACATTGTCACCAGCTGGTGAGTGTAAATGGACTGGGAAGAAGAAAGACAGAAACTGTCTTTTAGGCCTCTTGGCTATAGAGAGAAAGCAGGGCAGGAAGTCCGCTGTTCTGGGGACCTGTGAAGGGAAGTCTGTGCTGTACCTGGGTTGCTTGGGATTGGATCCTCTCAATCATAAGAAGACTCAGCCAGTATTTAACTTATTCAGTCAATGACAAATAGAACACCTGCATCTTCAAACGAAAGCTCGTTTTATTGTCTTTGTTAAAACGTCTACACTCACTGTTTTTATTTTCAGAAGGATACTTATATTTCTTTATGTAAGAGTCTAAGATATCTTGAATAGTAAGATTTCCCAGCACAGCTGCACCCAGAGAGGTCTGGTAATAAACAAATGCTTTAGGCATGAGATTTCTGTGAGGGCCTGAGTTGGTATTCTTGGACAATGACCTCAGATGGAAAAAAATGTGGAAGTCAGAGAAAGACATTGTCATAGATGAGGCTCTATGGTCTCTGCTTTGTGGTGCTCAGCCAATCTCTCTAGTCCTGACGAGTAGGCAACAATGGCACCTGTTTCTAGAGGCTCAAAGGGTTAGACAACTTACCCAGTTCTACACAGCTAGCTGTCCCTGGGCTTATGTTTGATTCCAGGACTGGTCGCAGTGCAACAGGAGATGTCAGAGCTTCTTTGCTTCACCCCCTTTTGCAACAGGAGATATCAGAAAGGGAGAGAATGACCTTATGGATGGCCAGGTATTTGGAATGCTTTAGCATCCCCACTCTGAACCTAAACCACCGAGGACACAGACAGGAAATTCAGTACTGACTGTGAGAGGCAGAAGTGAATGACTTGCTCAGGCTCTGCCTTCATGGAGCTTAGAGTCCAGGGGATGGACCAAGTGGCAGCACTTAGTCAAGTGAGTATCTAGCGTTAGTTGGGACCAGCACCAAAAGGTGAGGCGTAGGGTGGGGTGCTATGAAGTGTAGAGGCTGTGGTAAAGGGTGCAGCACGGCACTGGAGCTCCAGGTGATAATGGAGGAAGCCGGGAAGGGGTGAAGCAAGGAAGCTCTGAGCCCAGAGGACAGGAGGGGAGGTCCTGGAAGGCTCCTCGACAGGAAGAGCCTGTGGGGTGGAGGTTACCCAAACCCCAGTGAGGTGCCTAGACCTGTGGTTCCTTTGTTAAGGTTAAGAATATGCCAGAATCCTTGTTTCTGGAGACTGGATAGATTTCCACAGCTGACCAGTTTCCCCATAAAACTATATCCATACACCCCTCCCCTGCCTGCCCTCAGAATTTCGCCTCTGCAGTCCAAATGATGAACATTGTTTAATGCCTTGAGGGGAGCTTGACTTGCTCAGCTGGAATGGAAGAGTCCAGAGATTTATTTATTTTCTTTCTCTATGGGGAGATTTGAGAACTTTGAGAAATTCTGTGGAAGCAGTTTCTAGAGTGGGAACTTTCTATGGCAAAAGTGTAAGAATTGGAGTTCTTCCCTGTCCTGGGGACACTAGCAATGCAGAGTGACAGGAGGACCCTGGGACAAAATTGCAAAACCCTTGTGCATGTACAATAGGATGTGTTTGGGCTTGCTGTTTCTGCACACTTCTGCTCCAAGATAGCCTTCTGTGGAAAGAGGGAAAAAAACATATGGGTGACGTCTCTTTTAAAGCCCCACCTTAGATCTCTTCCCTGCTCTTGTGTGCCTGGCTTGCAGGTGGCTGCTAAGAAGTCCACCTGGAATTCACCCAGAGGAGCAATTTAAGACCCTGGAAACCCACCAGGTCTAGCAACTAAAGGATGTTAGCTTTCTGACATTGGCAAGCTGGGTTGCAAAATAAACCACAAGTGGTCAAGAGCTCTGTTACCCATTTTCCAATGTTGGGACAAAGGAATCTTTGGCCTGGTGCTCCCGAAAGGAAATTGGCATTGTTTTGATGGGCGAACACTCACCTTCCGGACCAAAGTGGAAGGACTAGATTATCCATTGACTGGTTGACTGAACTGGCTTGTTCTCTAGTGTGGGATTTACTATGGACCCTTCCCCTCTCCCTTAGTTCCTTACAGGACAGAAGCTTAATGGTACCCATCCAACTTCCTTAGTTTTTTTAAAAACTATTTTAAAGTTAGAGTATATTGTATATAAAGTGCACCTATCTTGAGTGTACCCTTGATGGGTTTTCACAGACAGAGCTAACCTGTGCAACCAGCACCTAGATCGGGATAGCACACCGGAAGCCCCACACCCAGTTCAGGTCTTTAGCCCCTTCCCCACCTGTCCAGGGGAAACCTTTATCCCATTGCCCAGATTTTTCTACCTTGTTTTTGGACTTTTTAAGAAATGAAATCGTGTGGTTATGTTCTCCTCTATATCTGATTTCTTTTGTGCAACTCTGCATTTGTGAGAGTCTTCCCTGTCGCGTATTCATTGTCATAGCCGGATTGCTTTTACTCATCCTACTCTAGACATCGTGTGATTTCGAGGTTGGAGTTTTACAGTAGATCCAGGGCCCGTCCCAGCTTTTGTCTTTTGATGCGTGTAGAATGCGTTTCTGATGGGCACATGCCCAAGAGTAGATTCCCAATCTGGGGATCATCCAAGCGATCGTACTGCTATTCAGTTCCCACCAGAAATTGGAGCCTCTCCTGAAAGGTAAAATAAGAGACTGGAAAAATGGAAGGTGAGGAAGACTTCCATAAAAGAAAAGACCTCAGGATAATCACTCAACGGATGAACTGAGGAGTAGAGAGAAGTTACCCGTGGTGCCCCAGAAAGATACCCTTGATTCTTCTAGATTCTAACACTCCATGGTCATATTTTGCCAGAAACCAGTCTTTATTTGCACGAGCCCATTCTGTGCACTCCCCTCTCTTGGGAAGCTCATGCCTTTCCTCCCCATTTTAGGATGAACTTTTCCTGCCCTCAGGGCTGCGCAGGGTGACTGAGAAGAGCTGGCTGGAATGACTCAGTATTCTTCCTGTCCACAAGCTGAGCACAAGGGTAGAGGTCACCCTGTGTAGAGGAAATGGAAGGAGAGAGCACTCTACACTGTTCTACCTGGGATGACTGTTACCTGCCCTACCCCTGCCTGGGAAGGTTCAGCAGATAAGGGTGAGTGTCTGAGGTGAAACTCACATCCATTTTGGGAAGCTGGCTTCTCAGGGACTCTGTTTAGAAGCTGGCAGGGAGGGGAGTGAAGAGGTAAGGACAGATCTCACCCTTCAGGGGCTCTCATCTGTCCCTAGCGTCCCAGAGCAGCAGGACCTCCTGAGATGCTAGAGATGCTGGGTATCTGCCTCCTCCCCACCTTGCTGTCCTCCAAGGCGACACTAGACCCAAGTGGCCCACAAGCACTTCAAATGTGATATGTACAAGGAAATGAAATTTTATGTTTTGTTTCACTTTAATTTACATTTAAAAATGAATTTTCAGTTACTGGAAGACTTAACTTGTAACTTGGGCATGTAAATCTCTTTTTCTATCTGTATGTTTTATGAACTTTAAATACAGAACAAGTACTTCTGTTGAAAAGTCAAGATCCAAATTGAGATAGATGTTCATAAATGCAAAAAATATTTTTTTAAAACTGTGAATTATGAATAGAAACTTCTATTAATTAATTCACTTTTGTATTGGAGCCATGTTGACATGATAATTTTGGATAGACTGGGATGAATAAAATATGAAAACTAACTTGTGGCACGTTGTGGCTCACATTCTGTTCTGTTGGCCAGCACTGCTACAAGGATTCTCCCTTTGATGCTGGAAGTTGAGTGGGGAATTGGAGGGGGTAATGGGAACCCTGTCATCACTTTGCTCTCTTGGAAGTAGGACACGGGGCTGACTACCCAAGGGCCTTGAGGATGGCCTCTACTGGTTGCTGACAGGTCTCTTGGGCTCTGTTCAGCCTGCCTCAGTCCTGCCTATTGGACCCTTTGTCCTTCCTGCCACTTGCCCCACATGGCGCCTTTAAGAACCAGTATCTTCCCAGTGCTTCATGCCAGGAAGAGGGTACAGTAGTTTGTCTCCCCTGAGCTATACCATCAGCACTAGTCTGGGTGAGAACTCTGCTTTTAAATTCAAATTTAATTTAATTTTCAACTCGGGTGGGTTAGACAGCAACTCTGAATACTAAACAACAGAAAAATGGCCCCTGAAAGTGAATTGGGTTTCATTTCTGCCTCCTGAATGTGCCTTTTGTTTCAGAAAGAATAGTGGGGGTCTCCTGGAAGGTATCCTGTGCAGGCTGTAGCAGGCAGGGACTTGCAAACCAGCACACTAGCATGCAGCAGCTTCTGGCATTCAGCACTTAGTTCACCTGACATGCTATCTGTCATCTTTATTGGATTCCGAATGCTTCCACTAGCCTGTGATGTGGAGTGGTTTTACTTGGAACCTGCTGTCTTAATCTAAGGGTCACATGTGGCCCTCAGGGGTAGGGAGAATGACCTCCAGCAGGTGGTCATTTGCATTTGTCTTGTAAGAAATCTCCAGAGGGACTGTTTGGAACCTCAGATATGCATTGTGCTTTATTCTGAAACCCCTAATGCAAATTTTTCTTTTTTTCCCAGAAATTTTTCTTGGACACAGCGTGGCTCTTACTTACTGCAAAGATAAATGTTTGCATTTGTAGGGCTTTTTCTCTTTACAAGCACTTACCCAAATGTCCTAATTCATTTACTCCTGAAGCATGCTGGCCTACATCACTATTTTCATGTGCCTCAGGGAAGCAGATGTGACCACTTGTCCAACGTCCTGTAGCTAAAGCAGGACACAGCTGGATCTTCGATTCAGGGAAACGCTCATTTCAGGTGACTTCTTCGCCTTTATTATAGTTCACATTTAATGCAACCTAAGCTCAGAATCCTGGTTGGCCAGGCCTGGGGGAACAGAAAATGTTGAAGTCAGGCAGTGAGAGAAGTCTGGTTCTCTTCCTGGAAGGATTGGAATCTGCTCTGGCAGAAACAAGCCGACTACCTGTGGTGGTCAGGCCTCAGGCTGGCCTTGTGTTCCCCTGTTCCTCAGCAGGAGCTTGTAGAGGAGCACTGGTCCTGCCTTGGGGGTCTTCTGCTCCACCTCCACCTTTTTAAAGTCAGTGAGTCAAATTTCTGCAACCTGAAAACATAAACTTGGATTGCCCAGCGTGATTAGCCGTGCCGGAGCCACAGGCCCTGAGTGCTGCTCTGCGCTCATGGTTCTCCTTCTGTGTCAGCCTTTGAGGCACAGTAACCTTGATGTTGACATCACCCCACGGGATAGGGACACCTGAAGCTTCCAGAGACCCTGGACTCCCTTTCCCCAAGTCCCAAGGGCTGTCTCTGATGGTCCCTGCAGGGGTACAGTCTCATGCCTCTGCCCCCATCAGCCATGCTGTTCCAACAGCGAGGGAGAAAGCCCTGAAAACAGGAAGGACTGACTTGAACTTTGTTAAACTCTTGCATTTCCTGGCCACGTGGCATTATTTGTCCTGCAGAAGCTGCCGAATTCAGTTGAACCTCAACTTTCTCTATATTCAGGAATGTTACAGGATGTGGGAACTCCATGGGAATTTGTTGGTTTGTGGGAGTTTGCAACTTGGCCGAGTGAATTCCAAAGCACAGACTCTCCAGCTCCTTGAGAAGGGCCCCTAGGGAGTGATGCTGACCTCATGGGTGTCTTTGCAGTGACAGGAGCTGGCCTCATTGATGAGCAGCCAGGAGTTCACTCTGCCTGGCCCTGTTCCGCTGGTGCCTGCCACAAACAACCCAGAGACGGAGTGTTCAGACGTGTTCTGACAATTCCTTCCTAGCTTGGATTATCTCCTTGCTATACTTTCTTTGTGTGCTCTTGGGTCCAAAATACCGTAAGACTGAACATCTTAAATAAAAAAGATCCTGTTCTTTATTGTTTGAATTTGTGTGTCTTATTAAAATCAATTGTTCTGCCGTTATTCCCAAGACAAGGTCTCCCTTTTATTTTTTTCCCCCTTGTATATGAAAGCAGGATATTAAGGCAGGTGATGAAAGAATTTAGCAATGCTTTTCACTGCTGACTTAGAGCACATTAAAATGCATGTGTTTTGATCTTCTTTTTCAGAGAGCCAGGATTCTCTCCCTCCCTCCCTCCCTCCCTCCTTCCCTATCTCCCTCCCTGTCTCCTTCCCTTCCCTTCCTGTACTGGGGATCAAACTCAGAACCTTGCACTTGCAAGGCAGGCACGGTGCCACTGAGCTAAATCCCCGGCCCTAGGCTTCTTTCTAGAACAGCTCAGAATGACACACACTGGCCAGACCAGAGACATAGCTTGCATGTTACTAGACTTAAACCAAAGAGCAGGTTGTGTGCAGCAATAACGATGATAATGGTGATTATAATAAAGGCGGCTACCAACTATTCTGACAATTGCAGGGTTCCAGGCTCCTTGCTCAACTCTTTGCATGGAGTATCTCAATGCTCTGTGTTCCACTGGACCGATCTTATTGTAACCATTGACATTTTTAAGATGAACTGAGGTGGACTTAAGGACGAGGCCCGGGCATCTAGATGGCCCATGTCCTTGTAACCACTGCTTTGTTCCAAGTGCTCACCACATGCAATCACTCTGATGTAGAAACTGGACTCCAACATCCCCTGCCTCTGCCTCTGCCTCTGCCCTCCGGTGAAGGTGAGAATTTGAGTTGGCTATTCCTGGAATTACCCATATGCTTATTTTTTGCTTCAGTTATTTTACTAATTGAAGCAAAGTTTCTGGGAGTTTTGACATTAAGTACCAGGATAATTGCCTCAGTGCATCAGTATCACTTTATACGCTTAGACACAACCTTTAATGAAATTTGAAAACCCAACTCTACTAAGGGGAAATGGTTTTAATTTCAATTTTTAACTCTCTTTCCCAGAGTACTTGATGGGATATGCTTTGATTTACAGGCTTAATTGCACAACAAATAAAATTCTCCAACTTCTCTGTTCGTGGGATTTCCAAGTCAGCCTTGGTTTGGGGCAGATTGCCTGATCCTGCTTCTTATCTGGGAAATGAGGGCTTTAAACAAGGTGGTCTCTCAGGTGCCTCTATCTGGCCCTGGACTTCTGGTCCAGCATCTTCCATGATCACCTGGATTGCAGGCCTTAGGAACCAGGACAGAATTGAGCCCTTCTTTGTTTACCTTCTCAAGAAATAGCACTGATTACTGAACAAACTGGTCTGAATAAGTCTGAAAAACACCTGCAATTTCACTGAATAATGTGCATGTAAATTACTGGCCAGAAAATATTGAATGATGATAAATATCTAAGAGCTTCATGCTATCTCTGAAATGTTTCTAATCTTCTCCTTGTGATCACCAAAGATAATTTTAAGGGATTTTAAAAATATGCTGTTTACAGGGGTCCTCAGACATCTGTCATGGCTTCTGGTGGGTGTGTGAGGCTGGGGATGCTGTTTTCCCCTGGGTCTGGGGGCAGTGGGCTCCCTGATGCTCTGAAAAGCCCAGCCAGTGACTCTGAACTATGCAGCTGGTCTCCCACTCCAGCTGCAAATCCTTTAGGGGTGGGTCTGACCCTAGTAGGATAGCGACAGATGGGACACCAGGAGGAGGCTGTCCTGCAGTCACTCAGAAACCCTGCATGGTCTCAGAAAGTTTTGGCTGTTCTGGGGCTCAGTCGGTGGGGAAGCAGGAGGGCCATAGGTCAGCAGCGCAGAGAATGAGCTGTCACTTGACTGGAACTCACCTCTCTGGGGGAGGTGCTTGCCAGCCCAGGTGGGGTTTCCCCCTCTCCAAGATGAAATGTCTCCATTGCTTTTTTTAAATTATAAACTGAACACTTTTGGCCATTCCTGGAGGCGGGGGGCAGGAATCTTTGAGATTTGTTTTTCATGATCATTCAGTTTTGTTCAAGGCTTTGGGTGTGAAAACACCAGACAGAGTGAACTCAGTTACAGTCCCATGATGTCAATTGTATTACACCGGAAGATATAATCTGAATTTACCAACACTGAGAGCAAAGATAATCTGAAATTGCTTTGTGACAGTTTAGACTTGTTTCTTTGTTTTCCTAAGAGGTATGGGGCAAGTCCAGAAACAGATACAGAACGTGTCCTGGCTGTGATGGAGAAAAGAGCCCTGGAACGGAGTC